TTTTTTTTTCTTCTCCATCATCGTTCATCTTTGTTTTGGGCAAACCGCGTTTTCTCTTGTTGTTAGTGTTGCGAAAAATTGACTACGGTTTAAGTTAGAGTTGCGAGAAAATGATAATCGTGTTTGTTTTAGAGTTGCGAATTGTGATTTCGCGATTGTGAATTTTTAAAGTTGTCTTAGAGTTGTACAGAATAAAATTCATCTTGTTTTTTATTGTTTTGAATTAAATTATAGAGTTATTACTTTTAATTAATTTTACAGTGTTAGAGTATTTGAAGTAACTTTTCATTCGTACAGTTTTGTATTGTTAATAATAATTTTCATTGAGTTTAGCTTTAGAACTAGTTTCGCGACATTATTTCATCGCGATTTCCAGTTTTATTTTTACTGTTAGCATTGCGACAATGAATGATCGCGTTTCGTGATGTAGCGTTGCGTTTACAAAATGCCCAGATTCTTCCACTGAATTCGTGGAAGGCTGTTTCCTGCTCCTGGATCATCTGATGCAGTTACAAGAGTTGTACAGAAGTAGTTATTCATCAGCAACCTCCAGCATGGTTGCACTGGACGCGTCGCAATTAGTGTTGCGCATTTTTAATCACGAGTGCATGTATTAATAACGTCTTCTACTTATTTTCGGGAGTTTTAAACATGACGAAGCACTCGTCGTGTTTGATTTTGAAAATTTCCTTTTTCACAATTAATGTTTGCGAATTAGTGTTGCGAAGCAAGATACGGTTCGTTCCTCGGATTCGTAACGTACAGTAGCCCTTCTGGTTATTGTATTGTTGAGTAGGAAATGCTTGTTTTTTAATAGCCCTTCTGGCTATTGTATCGCGGTTTCCTTTTCAGTAATCCAGCCCTTCTGGCTGTTCATTTGCCTTTTTTCCCCCAAATGTCGGTTCTCTTTCAGTGGTGTGGAATTTTTGTGTTAAATTTTTTAAACTATTAATCCAACAAATAAGTCTGTTACAGATTTCTCAACTACAAATGGGTGAAAGATGGGATAACATGGACTATGAAATTTAGTAGGAATGATGCCTGGGTCCTACCTAATGGTAATTATATATATCTTGTTATGTTTATTTAACATATTTTTTCACATGAACAAAAAAAGGTTGCGCATAGAATTCGTTAAGTATAGAAAATTCTATGTAATATTCAAATCAAAATGGTCGTTACAAATGTTAATGGCGGAAGTAATACGAGTTGATCACGTGAAAGACGATGTCGTTGAGAATTTGAGTATCATTCCGCTCTGTTATCTTCTTCTGTAGATCAACTTTTAATCGTTTGGAAGTTCTTTCGAAAAGAACTGTTAGGTATTCAATGATGAAGAATGGTAGTCATCATAGTTGAAGTGTAATATTTTAATAGTAATTATAATGAAGTTACAGGTTGCTTTTATACAATATGTATAGATAGAGTCATAATATAATCGCTCTTAATTAGTATGATCGACATAAGTATGCTTAATCAATCTGTAAGTTTGTTATCGACTATTAGTCAGAGAGAAGGATAAAAAGAGAGATATGTAGAACACGTATCCGTAAACTCTTATGTGAAAAAGAACAAGATAACTTTCTATATTGTTAACGCCATTATCAAAATGCTATTCACAAACGTTGTCTGGGAATGATAAAAAGAAGAGGAGGATCTTTCTTTCTCGGGATTTTTTTCCTTATGTTTTCATACATGCCTGCATCTGTACAAAATTCAAAAGTTACATATCTTTTTCAATGAACATTCTTAAACATCGGGAATGGGATTTTATTAACTTTCCAAATAATAAAAATAAACGCAACAATTGTACGCTTCTATAAAGTGTACGTCTCGTAACCATGTCAAAATAAATTGACATGATCGCATTCATATTTATAATATATGCATATGTACAGTGAAGAGCATAATTGTACCAATAATAAAGAACAGTTGTCGATAATTTATATTGATATAATTTCGCAAAAAAGGATCATATAACGATACTGAAACTAAATTTTCAAGAAAGAAATATCCTCAGTTTCGCATCCTACATGATGCAGTCAGTTTCAAAAAAACACGAACTCACGACATCAAAGTAGAGACTTCATGTTTTAAAAGAGATTGAGTAAATTTTCGAATCAAATTTATATGATCTTTCTTTACATAGTAATTATATATAAGTTATATATGAGTTTAAATTCGACAATTTTTCGTCATTATTAGTGCAATTATTCATTTCATTATTATTAGCAATTATGCTCTTGACTGTATATCTATAATATATATATTAAAAATTGCGGAAAAATTCTGCATTTCTTTTTTCTTTTTTACAAACATTAAATTATTTATTAGAAATTTGTACACTGATTTCCACAAAACTGATTCTTTTAATTACACGCTTGTTTCGCTAATTATCGTCCTCGTCGCTTTGGCTTCGCATCATCCAAGAACATATGCACGTATTTGCCTATCTATTTAAGTACGAATTTGACGAGGTTCTCTCAATTGTTTTCCATTGAGAATTGCAACAATCGAACTACTCTCTAAAAAACGAAAATAAAAAGGTTGATGCTTACTTTTCTCCCGACTCCGATATTTTTGAATCGCTTCACGCGTACTAAATAATAGGGGTGTGCGGGTATCCGACATTTCGGGTTCGGGTCGGGTCGGGTCCCGAAAGTTTGTGATACTCGGGTACCCGAAAAATCTGTAATATTTGAGTACCCATCATTGGTCAGAGTGATAATTTTTCAATCGGACTTTACATTTATTCCTCCAAATTTATAAATATTTTTGTATTCTATATAAGTGAAATCAAATTTGAAAAATCCACAAGCAAAAAAAACAGTTGATAATATTATATGAAAATATTACATGAAAACTATATTATTTTAAATTACCGTGAAGAAAACATAATTGTTCAACTTTTTGGGGTATTAATTTTGTTCACGTGACTGTTACAACGTTGCCAGCATCTGACAATAAGCCTTCTTTTATTTGGGTTTCCTTTTTAGTCGGTCGAAAGCCGAGAGTCGCCAAGAGCACTTGACATTATCTTCGCAGTTATCCATGCATCTTTTTGTTAATTTAGTATACATTGTATACGCGAGTTCCCTGTGAGTTTTATTTTTTATTTATTTCCGAACTCTTCGTCAAAAACCAAGACTGCTCATGTTTACTAACGATGTAGAATTTTCGTGATACCTTGTAGCTGTGTAACTTAACAAAACCGATAGTTTTTCTTATTCCGCATAAATAAAAGAAACGCTAACTTATTTTTAAAACATACTTTCCCGAAAAAGTTATATAATTTACATTTTACAATCAATCGAAAATCATTATTCAAGTATTCATTTAATAGAATCGTATATAAGCTGCATTAATTATGTCGTTGAGTAAATGCGGACTGAATACTCTTACTATGCCTGTTTTTTTTTTTTTTATCGTTGATAATAGCAGCAATATTGTAAATTCCATTGAGTCTAATAAAGATTGAAGAAAGAATAAGTATAAAATCCGATTGAAAAATCACCCGACTCGCGACGTAATATTCGAGTATATAATATCCGAATATTATAAATTTTAAAGTTCCCGAGTCGATCTAAGCACTATCCGACTTCGATGTCGGGTACCCGCAAACCCCTACTAAATAACACTAAAGGAGGGTATATCGAGTTTTAGATACTTGAATCAGAACTGATTTTCAAGTCGTCGAGGGAAAAATGGTTATTCGAACAGTTATCAGTTATCGTGCGCAATGAAAAGCATGTAGGAACTACGCTATTGAACAACTTGTCCGTAACGAATATGAACATGTGTATGTGACGATGTAGACGTGTGTATGTGTTTGTATGTATGATGAAAGATAGTGAATTTCGTTCGATCTCTTCTGTTCTCACTCTTGCGGTGCAAAAACATAGAAACTTGGAAAACAAAAGCTCACCGGATAGGAGAATGTTTGCGGATTACCATAAACGCACTTTTCTTTAGTCTTGTAACATGTTTTTGTTCTTAAAGTTCAATTCTATGAAATTCTCAAATCAACACTCTTTTCATTGCCAGTTACTTAGAAACACGATCGATTCGAATTTTCCTACGGTTATAACGTCCGTAGCAGTTCTATGGGCTTCACTAAAACAGCATTTCCGCGAACGATTTCCATCTTTTTCAAGCCGTTCGTCCTATGGGCTATGTCGAAATCTCGATAACTGGCTCGGCCGTGTTATTGTTAAGCAATTCCTGCTTCTCCCTCAGCTTCAGATCATACTGCGGCGGTGGAGTCGATTCTTTGGCTTCTGCAGGCGATAAGCCATCCGCTTCATCCAAAGGAGAGACTCCTTCCTCGCTATCCTCGTCTTCGTCATACTCCGTTTCCATCTTAGACTCGTGAATCTCGTGAAGTCTACCGGGCAAATAGGCCGGGTGAGGGGGTAATCCGTAGCCAGCCTCACCGCCGTATGTCACCTTCCCCATGAACGACCTAATTTCGTCAAAATACGTGTCCTCCCGTTCATTTTCATTGCTGCTCCCCGGTGAATCCGCCACGGAAACAACGCCACTGCCGTCGTCGGCTTCGTGTTTCTTTAAATGTCTGTCTAAATTCGTCTGTTGGCCAAAACATCTCTCGCAGAGTGGACACTTGAACGGTCTCTGCTTGTCGTGGATATTTCTTACGTGCCGCTGAAGGTTACTAGAGATGCTGAAGGACCGTTCGCAGTACTTGCATTTGTAAGGTTGTTCGCCGGTGTGTGTGCGTAAATGTCTTGTCAAATTGGCGGATCTGGGGAATACCTTGCCGCAAAACTTGCAGGAATATCGGTCTTTCATTTTGCCGTGAGCGTGATGATGATGGTGATGATGGTGAGGTGGAATCACGGTGTCCTGGAAGGGTTTCACGCCGGGGAACGGTCCCAGTGGCGGCCTGGCAAGCAGGTCGAATCCTCCGCTTCCTGGCCTAGCGCCGCTGAGCCCGTTCATGAGTGTTCCTAAAAAAGGAAGTCCACGCGGTGTCCCGAACGGTGGTAGCGGTGGCAAGAGTCTCGGTTCTGTTCCGCTTCCAGGAGGCGGTGGTCCGCCTGGAAATCCTGGAAAGGAACTCGTTGGTCCGCGGTACATGGCCTCCAGAAACATTGGATGAATCGGTCTGGGATACGCCATGTGCGGTGTGCTAGTAGGCGGTTGTTCTGCGGGTAAACTAATTTTTAATTGAGGACTTCTGGCCACGTCCTTGGAATCGACTTCCATCAGCATGGACGTCTCTTCCTCTGGTTTCGGAGGATCCAGAGGAGCAGGAACTTCCTCCATCGGTGCTGGCGTAGGCGATGGGCTCCTTCTGTTGGCAACGTTCACGTTCGTCCGTTGTTTCTTTGTTTGCACTCTCAGGTCCAAAGGCTGATCCGTTGTCTCTTCGTTCGTAGTTTTCGATACGTTTTCAGGGTCCGCCTTCTTCTCGTTGCTCCTATCTTTCTCTCGTTTCTTGGAAGGATCGTCGTCGCTCTCCGGGGTTGGTTGAACGGGTGGTCTAGCCGGGGATGGTCTGAAGGAGGACGTAGCTTCCTCGGCCGTTGAGGGTGATATCTTGCTATGTTGCGGCAGAACCCTCGGCGGAGTGAAGCGTTCTTTCTTTGGACTGTCGCATCTCTTCTCAGCTTCCTCGATTTTTGGAGGAAACAGCAAAGGAGTGTTCAAGAAATTGGACGCATTTGGAAAAATCCCTGGATACGGTCCCATTAGACTAGGCGGATAGAAAGGCAAGCCTCCCGGGAGACTAACGGGAGGTCTAGGATAGACGAGAAATGGGCTAGGCGCCGGAGTCGGTAATTGTGGCATCGCGCCAGGTGGACCGGTTGGCGGCGTTGAATCGCAGAATCGCTTATGCTTTGATAACGAAGTGACCGTGCTGAACGACTGTCCGCATTTAACGCACTTGATCTGCATACGGCAATCCGCGTGCATGCGTTTGTGTCGGCATAAGTTTGAGAACTGAGTGTACGCTTTGAAGCACACCTCGCACTGGAACGGCTTCACGCTGCTGTGGATATGGGTGTGCTGCTTAAGGCCGGAACTGGTGGCGAACGTCTTTCCGCACTCAGTGCACGCGTGACTCCTCGCGCCCACGTGATGGGTCCTGATGTGTCGCTGCAGGTTCGACGGGTCCGTGAAGACCTGCGGTTTGTCCGACTGTTAGCGAAACTTTGAAGATGTTACTCCGAAAATGAACGTGTCGTGCTTTGTCGCGACGTTGTCGAAGGTGATGCTTACCTTTGGACAGTTCTCGCAGGGGTAGTTCCGGAGATCACCGTGAACGATCGCACGATGACGAACCAGCAGTGGCCGCCAGGCGTACGCACGAGGACAGCTGTCGCAACGATGCTGTTCCGCTGGGTATCTGTGACAGGTAACCACGTGGCTATCCAACCTGAAAGGAAAATATCAAGAACTTTCAAGAAATTCGTCACTACGTCCAGATATCTCTTACTAAAATTTTACACCGAACCTTCTACGTTACATCCTCGTTCCAACAACGGTCGAACAAATCAACCCTTAAATTCAATATTCAAGAATGACAAGCCCGTCCAGAAGAACGGCACTCTGTTGTCGGTAAAAAACCCTGGAAACTCGAGCGTAATCGGGTCGAAATCTCGGAGCGAGTCGAGCAAGAAACCTCAGATATAATCGATCCGGGGCAGCGCACCGACGAAGACTGCGCTCGGTGCAGTCGAGGATGATGACTAAGTGACTCCGGTAGCGCGGCAGCGGGCAAGCTCTCGCGTAATAACGATCACACGCCCCCGAAGGAAGAGGGTGGTCATCGTGTATATACAAAGAAACTAAGAGAGAAGGAGAGAGGAAGGGAGAAAGAGAGAGAGAGAGAGAGAGAGTGAGAGAGTCGCGACAGTGTTGATGGTGGTGAGGTTCAACACGAACAACGCTCGTTGCAAGAGCGGGGTGTCGCGAGCTGGCCACGGGTTATGGTCACAGGATGTGCCATGGTGTGGTGGCGGCATTGATTTTACACCCTCGAACACACGTGTCGCGTGAAACCTATTCGTGGTGAGATAGTAGGTTCACGGTGACGGTGCGCTATGCCAGATGAGCTGCGGGCACGCGACGCCTTCGATGATGCATAAGGGGGTGGCTCGATGCAACCAAATGCGGATCTCGCGCGTACTTTATGTGCCACAACAGGTGACTCTGCCGAGCCGAGGTTCACGGAAGCGGCTGGTGTCGCGGTCTGTCGCCAAACCGGGAAACAGATGCCGGAACCGGCCGAAATAGATGTCCGAAATTGGACCAACAATACCGTGGTTATGCAATGCTGAAAAACTTTTCGCCACCTTGATTGCGAAAACTAATGTTCGTCCAAGGAAAACGCCTAATGAAATAAGTATTGCGGCACATATTTGCTAATGCAAAAAGATGAGAGTATTTGTTTTCAATTAGAAGGCAGCAATCTGTTACGACAAACACCCCCTTTCACTTTGGACTTGTGAATCGTGGGAAGAAACTCGAAAGCAAATAACTCGTACGAGCTTTCATACGACGATCGCATCGGTTAAGTATTTGACTTTTCGTTTAATGACGCTACGCAAACAGCGTCGACCCCTGAAAAAGCCATCGTAATTCTGAAGGCAACCCTCGAAATGGCTCGCGTGCTCGGGGGTCCCTCTTTCCGCACAGTGCGCGGCTAACGTTCAGATTTCGAGTGGATAACGCGCCTCTCGTTCCTGTATTTTGTCGATTAACGAATAACTTATCATTCAAATCAGACGATCGAACGATTACCAGAATGTTCGATCTGTTGTTTCGTTTGAGCATTAACGTTAGATATGAAAGTTCGTATTTAATATCGATATACCGTTCAGCATTCAAACAATAGAAATAAATTTTTACGAGGAGTATACATCAAACTCAATCGCGAGTAATTCGTTACCAGTGTGACGTTAGGGGGGACAATTGCCGACGATCTGATTTCAAGAGCATACGACGAGTTATGAATTCTTTATAAGCTTCGTATCGTTGATTTTACGACGATTTCTCGGCTTACAAAACATAATGAGTCTGTTACTCGCCGATCAAGATTCGAGAGGATCGAGGACGAAGCAATTTGAATTTCAAGTTTCAATGATTTTCTTCAAATGAAATGCTTATTAACCCATTAAGGGTTGATAGATATATATTATTATCATTGGGCTTAATTATTATTATAAATTACGTGCAACATTTCACCTATACTTTTGTTCAACTATTATCGAATTCTATTTTTTTAATACGGTGTCTACGAAAAAAACGAATGTCAAAAATTTGCGTAATATTTGCATTTAGCTATTTCGAAAAAATTTTAAGGAATTGAAGTATTTGTCAACATTTGCAACAAACCATTGTTCGATCCTTAAGAGTGAATTATAAGTCATTAATTCAACAAAGAAGCTTATCAAGATGAAATGTACGACTTTGGAAAATACTCACAGTTCAATGTCTTGAAACGGTTTGTCGCAGACCGGACACCTGGTCTCACCTTCCTCGTCGTCCTCTTTATCCTCGTCTACGGTGCCACTATGTTGCGAGGCTGCAAGCACAAGAAAAAAAGAGACACGTGAAACGACCCTGCGGAAAGAGAAACGGAGATAGGATGGAAGTCATAATTCCGTTCCACTTTGTGACGGGCTGCGGCTCTATAAATTACACCCCCGAGAACGATGATACGTGACCCGTCCTGGTGTGGGCGAATTACGTGATCGAGAAGCGCGCGGGGAGCCAACAGAGAGTGGCGTGACAAGTGGACGCCGGGATTGTTCCTGAATTATTAAATCAAACCAGCACTATACGTTTTATCTATCCGCCGAAGAACTCGCCCTGTCCACGAGTATCCTGCGGACGCGTTCATTTTTCCATCTGTGTCGCGTTTCTTTTGTTTTATGACAGAAGCGATGAAACACTGCCTTTTTAAAACTGTGTTACGTTATTCTATAAATAATGCGGTTTTTATGAGAGTTATGTTTGAAATAATCGAAGTTGTCAGTAAGTTGGAATAGAAAACTCGATACAGGAAGAATTCTAAAAAAAAATATGCTAAAATTCTTAAAAAGTAAATATTCTAAAAAAACAATTTAAAAATAATGAATTCCTCGTTAGCCAATTTCCTGTGTTCGTCCAATGTAAGGAAACCAACGACCGTGTTACTTTATAGGATGACCTATAATAACTATAACGCTGCTTCCACGTTTTCTTTCTTTCTTTTTTTTTCAATCATTTTAATCAAAGATTGACGACACGATTTCTTTTTAAAAGTTCAAAAGTGGAATAAAAAATTCCAAATTAAACACGTTAAACACGAGCCCTGAATGCAAAAGGGATGAAGTAGAGATTCAACGCGAGTAAACACATCACAGTCACTACGAAGTACCTTCTGTCGCTAGTCGGTCACGATGCCGCATTCAACGAAGACAATGGATACAATGATGCACCAGTTAGCTGGTAGCACGTTATTCCGCAACTGAAAACGCAAACGGGGTGTCGGGGACCGCTTCCTATTGGTAACAGCGAGGTCGCAGACCAACCAATCACAGGTGAGACGCGTTTGCCCCCTGCGGCCTCTATTCACCCCCGACTGACAAGAGCAACGGCAGGTAAAATCAGGAGTCCGTGAACAAGACAGCATGTAATTTTTAATGACGGAGATTCCAGACCGATCCAACGGTCATGGTGATGTATGCATATTCCCTCGAAAAGCCTCAGTCGTAAGAAAATGAACTTAAAATATAATATTTTCGTTTGGCATTTTATTACAACTAAATATATTTGTACAACATTAATGTTTGCAAGTCTATGGTAAACTAATGAAATTATATTACAATAAAGAAAAATGTACGATTTGTTGAATGATTGAGTTTTTTCGCTTCAGAAAAGCCAGTAAAATATTTTATCTCGCAGAATGTAAAATGTAAACCTTCATCTTGTATATATAAAACCGTAGAGGAATTACTTTTAAATTGTAATAGATTGGCTAATATAATGTCGAAGCTAGCTGCGGACGAATTGAAAACGTGAAAGTAATTAGACAGTCGATGTTCGTTGATCGACTATTAGCCAGGTGAATGGCAAAGTCGAAACGATACTCGTCCACTAACGGTTATTTAAATCTGCCGCTACACTTGTCTTAACCATATGGTCAGGCGATGGCCCCCAACGGACCTTCATGGGAACCGGGCACAGCCCCTATACCACCAACTACGCCCTTCACCACGCATCTAACCCCCCCATAGAACGTTAATCGTTCCTCCATCCACGACTAATTTGAAACGGCACGCCGTGAATTTAAACAATGAAGAATGCGGTCGATCTCGCAATTTGCTAAACGGAGTCGTGCGCCGTTCTTTCAAAAAATGATCCCATAGACTACAGTGGATAGAGACAAAAAGTATGTCAACGGTTTCGTGAAAGGGAAAAATTTGAATACACAATATAAATCATTTAATGCAATAGTAGCATAAGTCAATTTTTCAGCTTGTTTGCTTGGATACCACAATTTGAAAGCATAGCTTCAATTTTATATTATAGATAGGTATAACTTCATAATAATCCACATAAAAGGAATGTAACGTTCTTTGATATTATTATATTTTACAGTATCTTTATCATTCCGACTAAATGTTTTTAATTTACATCATTTTTGAATTGCTTGGTGTGAATTTCTTTCAAATTTAATTGACTTTTAACGACGGATAGTTACGAACGTTTCTGATATATCAGGTTTTATATAAAAAAAACATTAGTATGTATGTACGTGTAACGTTTTTTTTTTTTTTTTTCATTCAACCAAATTCAAAAAATCAATTATCACCTATTAAGGAGCAAGCAAAATTATATACTTTAATTTTTTAAAATATCATAAAGCTGTAGGATGGCGACAGGAAAAAATAACAAGCGAATACTTTCATGAGCATGATGTTAATAAAAAAATTCGACAATGTAAATTGATCAAGAAAGAACTGCAAACGAAATGTTGTATTTATGCAACATTGTACCTGAATGGGTTAAAGATAGTTTCCTTCTGAATTTGCAAACACAAGTGCGTACAATACTGCTAATGTCTGAAGCAATTCTATAGACTACGTTCTATGACGTTATCAAAAATTTCCATCATTTTTGTTTTCAAACTTTCTATCACGAAAAATACATCCTTTTAACTATCTTAATTTTTGGAAAAAGATAGAAATCTAGCTAACAGAGTGGGTGTTTAAGCATAGTGACATTCAATCAAAAAATGTTCCGCAAATTATGTGAGTAAGTTTGTTGTCTAATATAAATGAAATTCATCCGTCCAATTTTTGCCTATGCAATTTCACTCGTTGCGTGAAGCGATCAAAATGAATTTCGTGACATTATTGCTAATTATAATGACATATGCGGCTGTTTATCATCCCCTTGTCCCTCTTGATTCTCAAACTATAAGGTCAATCTACCATATAAAAATATACTAAATTTCTTTGAGAGAAAGTGTGTGTTACAAACTAATATTGGTATTGTGCCTTGTTGTCAAGCACGTTACGAAAAAAAAAAAAAAAACTGGCGGAATGTGACGTCGTAGAAAGTCAACAGGTGGGATCTACTGGCAACACCCTCTGCAGCCGTGTCAGTTGGCGGTTGTATGGGAAAAAGTAACGGAAATCAATATATCCGTGGCATCGTGACAGACCAGGATCAAGTGGATGGCTTGAAGAATTCGAGCGAGATACCGGAAACCAAAACCCCCTAGTGCTAAAAATATGCTAATCACTTGCACGCACTGCGAACGACGAAAGTTCAACGAAGGAGTCAAATTTTTGAACAAAGGATTCGTAATTCGAATTCGCGAATTCCAGAATCACTATTTTCCACGGAACATTGTGAAATGTCAAACGAGACGTACCATTAGTTTGATGAATCAGATAGGGTCGTCACTTATTTTAATTCGCCCTTCGCGCGAGCCCGCGCGCATGCCACCCCCTTCGAAAACAGCATCGCGTGCCCTTTTATGCGCGGATACCCCTTTTTTTTCTAGGCTATACCCTTTCTTTTTTTCTTCTGTGAGCCATGAGACCAGGTTACGCGCGTGTTAATCGACAATACCAGGCCATAAATTATCCACGACCCTAAATAGAGCCATCCAGGGAGGAAAAAGAGATGTATCTCGTGGCTGGAACGAAAAGTGGCGGGGAAAATGAGCACGGGGCAAAATCGAGCGCCGCGAAAAATCAAAACCATAACTCACCGTTAACTGCTGCCGCCAGTTGCATCTACGCCCCACGATATACACGATATACGCCTCGTGCGCGAGCGTGGTTTACCGAATCGTCGCAAAAAAATGCGCCTGTCTCGCCATCATAAAAACGTCCTATCGCTCGTCATTCGACGAAGGATCAACGCGTACGCGTAACTACCTATCGAGAATGCGTTTCGTTCGCGAACGTACCAGTTTGCCGCTTTGATCGCCCAGAGACGACGAGAACAATCGAGCGCAAATAAAACCGGTATATGCCCGAGAGCTTGCCCGAATATATCGGTATATTTTTTTCGTGACGCAGACGAATCGTGTTGAAAAAAAAAAAAAAAAAGAAAGAAAACTGTTTTCCAAACGTTTCAAACGCATAAAGGAGATTTTGTCGCCGTTTTAATGCGGTTCTATGCATAGTCGCGCCCCCATGCAGTCGCGTTAAAGCGATTCCCCCTCGCATCCCTCCGCACCAGTGAAAAAAATGATCCGCTCAAGGGAGACGGAGCAGAGATGTCCCTCGCAAGGGTTGCCACGGGGTGTACGCCGTTTGTTTGACATCATTATTCCCGCTGCACGCACCAGATTGCCAGGCATTTCTCGTGAAAACGGCATCGTCGGATTAACGACGATAAAGCTGTACATTTTTCCGTGTTCTATGGGTGATAGTCGTTTTTAGATTATTACGATCCTCGAGGGGAGAAGAACACGAACAACATGTGCAGACATGTTGCAGACAACTACATAGAAATCGTGTATTATCGTAGCGATTGAAGAAAAATGTAATTATCGACCGAGTCAATGCAGTTATTTTTCCTCTATTAATCGTGTATTTACAGCCTGCCCTTATATTGTTTGTTCCGATTATTTTTATTTTGTATTGTTTTATTTTTAATTCAATTCATCAAGAACCAAGCCAACTCGTCATACTTTAATTTTATTAAATTACATAAAAATGGAATTTCTTTTCGTAAACTTAATAACTTTAATAATTTAAAAATAATCGACTGAAATAAATTTTATACATTAGGTCAATTGGCCCATAATGAGTTAATAATTAAAACATAATTTAGAGCCTAGAAAAATAAAGAATTTTCGTTTATTAAAATTCCTCTTACACGAAGAACTCCCTTTTCTTAATATTCGAGTTATTGATATTCGATCGTATAAATAATAATAATTAACATGACATTAATAATAATAATATATTTTTGCAATTATTATTCTTTAACAATCACTAGAAATCAGATTAATTAGTATGGGACTCTGCATTCGCCAGTAGAGGATTAAGTGCACTTGCACTGTTTTGCTACAAGTACTCTTCAATTCTCGGCTCTCTGATCAAACTTCTGTAATAACGAATAAACAATCGTTGAGATCGTTCGAGTGAACTTCCGGAATAGCCAGGAATTGTCCCGAAATCGAGACCGGTGTTGGCGACGGAAGAAATCCGCCTCCCTTTCTTTCGCAGACAATTTATATCAAGCGGAGAACACAGAAAGTGGGTCGAAATCTTCGAAATTTTAATTGGCACGAGGGTGAGACCGATTTAATTAAGAACCAGTCGGCTGTGCTCCGTGTCTTCTGTCCTCGGAGGAGACGTTTACGAGTCGGCGAAATTACGGGGAAAAATCGCCGGCGAATTAACCGTAGACACCGCGCCGCCTCCAACTTTCATAATAATCCCGCTTTTAATTACCGCGACATCTGCGTGTCGCGTATAACCCCCTTTAATCTCTGCCTGGCAGTCATCCGGATCCTGACCATCGCGCACGAGTTACAACCAGATAATTGTCGAGCAGCCAGGCACCTAGGTGGCAACCCCTCTTTGCAAATGTCGCGAATATATTTCCCGCGCTTCACCTAATGAAAGTCGAAGACAAATGGCAGAACGGGAGAACGAAAGTTTCCCTCTCGCTGTTGAATTTGCAACTTTGTTTCTTTTTTTTTTTTTTTTTTTTTCTTTCCCCTGTAAGAATCGAGGCGCAGTTGGGCGAACGACGATTTAAATGTGAAATTTGAAGTGACACCACACGAGGCGAGGTCAACACGCGGCACGAGTACGTCTATCTCGCGATAATCAGCGCTTATTACGATAAAAGGGGGTTAATACGCAACGGCCGACCAGGTGAATCACGCCAGAATCACGGGTGCATGACGAACAGCTCGTGCAGTCAACGATTCACGATTTACCTTCTGGCCTCCCTCGCATCACAGCGGCAATTCCGCTTTCCGAAGACACCTGCCCTCCCTCATCGTCCTTTCCACGTTTGCGCGCGATCCCGCGCAAGTGCGCACGAGTTACGATGTGTATCGGCCCGAGAAGTCGTAAAGCCAGCTTGCCCCGCCTGCTCGACGATCGGCAATATTTTAATGGGTTTGATTATCTGTTCGTTCGCCCCGCGTTCGTTTCCGCCGTGTCACGTCAGTTGGCGAACAGTCGCTCCGGTTCCCGATCGATCTTGCCTCCCAACTTGGAAGAGCAAATTTCCAACGAGCTCGTGTTATTGTTACTCCATTGTCCGAGCGAGTAACCGGTTCGCAGGCTAATAAATCGTCGGTTAGAGAGACGTTCGGTGGAGAGGCACGTTAATGGTCGCGGTAACGCGTGAAAAGAGATCGGCAAGCCCGCGCGTCCCTTCTCGCGCGAAGATCGCATCGCATCGCATCGCGCGTTCGATACTCACCGGTCTCTCGATCGCTTCTGTCCTCTGTAGTATTCTCGCCAAACATATCCTGCAATTGAAGAGGTTCTCGAACACCGAGAAACAGCTCTTCACCGGCCGCTATGTCCCTCACCGCCTCGTACACCATCTGCGAACAATGACACCCTTGAATCTTCCGACCCTCTCTCGTTACCTTTCATCGCGAATTGTCTCGAGCTTCTTCGAAAACAATCTCGAGTACCTGCTCGATCAGAATGCCAAGATGATGCTTCGATAATTATGAATGGCGTTAAGAAGGACAGAAGATCGGTTAAGTAGCAAATGTTCGCCGAGAGAGCCAGGAAATTGAAATAATACAATAATTTCGAGTTCCCTGCCACGTTCGTCAATATCGCAGTTTTCAGCGGCGGATACTTTCCAGCGAGTCCACAACAGTCGAAAGCAATGAAAGGATCTTTATGATATCGTCAGAGGGCCCCCGAAAAGTCATTACAACGGCGATTCTGTAGGGCACTGATAGAGCCGGGCCACATCCCCCATTCCCACAGCGATTGCGAACAGGGCGTATAGGAAGTTACCGAAACGACCCCGTGGGGTGACTTAATAACTAAACACCCTGTATACACGTAGCTTAGGGAGCGCCCACAACGCAGCCAACAACCACGTGCCACCGTTCACACAGATAGAAAATCCAAACGACAGGAGGTCAGGATCAACCTCAAATTGACACCGTGACCTCCGATGTCTCTGCTCGATTAATAGAAAATCATCCTCAAAGTTCGCGGAATTGTTTTCTGCGAAAGAACGCTCTTTCGCTGAGACACGATATCGTCTTTTTCATGAAACACTTATTGTTAGATACAGATTAGATTAGACTGCGGATTTTCATGCGTTTGCGGAAACTTTTTAAGTATAGAAAGATAGAATTCATATAATGCGGGAAAATATGTATATAAAGTATATGTATATCCATGATGATAGCTCATGAAACAAACCTTTGTCCTTTTTCTTCAACTGATTTTTCAAAAATATAAGTCAGCATAAAAATTCGTAGTCTAATTACAACGACCAATAGGTATATCGTCCAGTTAGAATCCAAAATTATTGTCCTAAATCTACGTTTAAAGATTTAATGATTCTGATCTTATTTTTAATAATTTTTGAGTAACTTTAATGCGAAATAATACAATGATAATGAACTCGAATTTTGATTGAAAATGATACATCTTTTCCTCGTGATCTTCAATTCATCTTGATCGCTAATGACAATACTCTACGAGTCTTAAAAACTTTGAGCACAATGAATTAACCTTGGACTTTCAAATTTCAGTTTTAATTTAATGGGAGTTTGTATATATAATTTATATAATCGAATTCCTTTGAAAAGATAATGAGACAATAAATGAATACATAAATTTTCAAATGATAACGACATACGTATTAATACAATTATTAATTTAAAATAAGATGCGATCACAACAAATTCAATTGTTCACTTGATAAGAGTTAGGTATAGGTACTTGAATCTCGATAGTGAACGTATGTATATTGAAGATTATTGAAGAATAATTTTTCTTCATAAGTGAAAATGACTATAGTTCGAGCGATTATTAAACAGATAAAAATTCCCAGTTTCAGGAGAATACGTACTGGCTACGTATGTCGAAATAAACTTGGCGACCAGCGTAGTTGCGTGCGAATGAAGAGCGAGAGAATGAAAATTTTGAAGTAGTTGTATTTGGCAGTTTCAAATCTAAACGTAAATCTACAAACTTGGTCGCGGTTTCCGTTCCATCGTCGTCTCATTAGCGAGTCACGGAAACATGGCAGCGTGGGCGCGTGTTTTTTTATTAGTTTCGCTGGCAAACGTAAAATTACAAACTACAACTGCGTCTGATACCGTGTAATTATTCCTTCCTGCAACTGTCGATTCAGTGTCAGTTGCACTCGAAACCGAATTTGTTAGTGGTCAATACTGAACGCCACGCGCCAAGTCACTACATATCGACTTGTAAAACAATTATCGAAGGTCGCAGGTGAAAATGGAAACATTCGTCGCGACTGCGAACTTGTGCGATCGTTACATAAACCACTGGCAAAGCCGAACCGTGCAGTCGTTGTGTTTTATTTTACATTTATACTATGCGGAATCTTTTATTTATTTATTTATTCATTTTTTTTTTTTTTATTATCGGTTATTACCTGTCCACCAATAAGCACGTGTCGCATATTAACGGCGTGCGGACTGCTAGTGCTTCGAATATACTTCAACCAATTATTCGTTTCGTGAGAAGCGTCCAACCACCCCCTTACTCCACTTCCAGCTGTACGAACCTGAAAAAAATCATTTTCCCATGATGTACCACTAAAAAACTACCCATAGGACATTCTTTCTTTTTCTTTTTCTTTTTCTTTCTAACATTATCGCACCTGACATTAATATTGACACTGCGAGAAACGCATTAAGAATCGCAATAAATATCTATTGAGAAATCGTGGCTAGTGCACGTGCGGAAAATAGTAGGACCGTCAACTTCCGGAGGCGAACCGCAGTGTTTCGAACCCGGGGCGTTGCGTTTAACGGACTACCGCTCACGGATATTGCCCTCTCATCACCCAGTGTTACTTGTCGCTCCAGCATCCATTGGGGTCTGTTCTCCCTACTTTTAGGGCGAGACAAGTGATTTTTTTCAATTGTCTTGCGCGACCGCGCTACACTCCGAGACGCTTGGCCAACCAAGCGTCTCACCCTGATACGCCCCTGGACAGTCCGCTTTCCGATGCTTTTCCCAACCAATTCTCACCCTCGTCTCACACTGTAAACACATTTCACACTTCTATCGAGGACCTTTTTGTCTACAGTCATTTTAGAAGAACCATCGGACATCATCAATGTACGATTGAATTTTAGTTTCAAGTAACATTGACACGTTCGCCGCCACACGCGTGAATTCTCGTTTCTTTCTCGACATACCCCACAACAATAAGTGATGGAATCGCTTTTCAACTATTTATTATATATACTGTCAGTGCAGGAATATCGAATGTTTTCTACGTGCTGAATCTTGGTTTACAATATTTAAATTTCCGTTGAGCATTGTTTTAATCGTAATTTATCGTTTCTCACACAATCTACACCTAAACGGTTTCGAATATGATTGGTTGATTAAGCCAGTATGGTTCTAATAAAAACGAGTTAGACACATTTATTCTTCAAATCAAGAAACATTTTACTCTCCAGCTTAGAAACGTTCATTCTTCAAGTCGAGAAACAGTTATTCTTTAAATTAGAAACTGTAATCGTGTGATCTTCAGTTAGAAACATTTTACTCTCGTCAGATACAGTATAAACGTTCAACTTGTACAGTGTTTATTTTTAATGTTAATAGATGTGATTCTGCAAGATATTCGCGAAGACAGTTAATTATCAATCTCAAGTTCAGTTGGATAAGAAGTTCACAGTCTTTTGCTACAAGATTAAACCCAAACTCGAATATCCAGTTCATGCAATCAATAACAATTTAGCTTTTTTATTGAGAGAAAAAAATAATAGAAAGGTTTTACATCAGTGAGAAACGAACATATTTCGTAATAATTTGTGATGTTTTATTAATGAAGTATTTAAAATTGAAGTAAAAAATAAGCGGCACTATGATACATGATATTAAAAGTGAAATATCATTGAATTCTTTTCTCATTTTATAAATGTGCGAGGATTATACCTATAGAGAATCAATTCAGTATAAGTCATTTGTTATTAAAAATTTCCTTTTGTTGATATTCATTTCGCAGAACAGTTTAGCGACTATAATAATTATATTAATAATGTATTATTATACTCTATATTAATAATATATTATTATACTCTTTAGTAATTAGAAGAATTATATTATTACTTTAAAATATATATTGCAATAAAATATATATTGCAAAATATCCAATGTATAACTTTTTATAATAATTGGTATATAACTATAACTATATAAAACGATTTTTTATTAAGATTCTCATCTTTTAATATTGCCAAAAGTATAAATTTGTATAAAAATGCGCAGTCTAAACTGTTTTGTCAAAGATTTTGTCAACAAAAGAGCTCTTCTGAGTTCATTCTCCACACGTTGCGCATTTTTGGTTTCACTTCGTTGAATTTCACAGAATATGAAATTCCTACTTTAGAAAAGATTTCAAGGCTCCCTTATCAGAGATATCTAAAAACATCTCTTTCTCTCGAGGCTAGAGAGCCTCATCCTTCGGTCGGTTACTCCACCACCTGCTGGTGACGAACACAACTAGATGTGCCCATAAAAATCAATGAATCACGATGGATAAGTGTCTACCTCGCAGGTAAGTAACCTAGCAGGTTACTAATTCCCGAATAGTTATTTTCTACGAAGAGATTTGCTCATCCGCATACTTTGGATAATCCGCGGCCCAAAAATATAAGATAAGCTAGCAGAGATTTATTTAAACGCTCTAAACGTTTCCATGATCTTGATTGTGTTTCTGAATATTACACTTGAACGTTAATAAAAGATAGATCCTCTTCGAAATACTAGGAAGCTAAAAAATATCAAATGATCTTTGCATACTTGTAGTGTATGAAAATCTAGGTACAACCGATTGAATGGTGATTTTACAAGAAAAAAATAAATTGATAAAGAAAAAGAGTGACATTTTTTCATTTGAGACTTCGTTTTCGAGATAATTGCATCTGAAAATTTCTTGAGTATACTTGAATTTGCTTAATTCCGGACTGGAGAAAAGTGAATAATGGATAAGGAAGAGATTATTTTATGTACCATAACAATATGATTCAAAGATTAAACAGTTGTTTAGAAATGAATAGTCACTATTTTGAACATTTAATAAACGTAGAATGTCTATTTTTATTACTCTATCGGTAGCACTTTTTGTGCACTCTCCAAATCCCTTAATGCTATTGAATTTGAAAAAAAAAGTTTGTCAATAGCTATGCCCAAGAGAATAATTTGTAACGCTTCATCTAATTTATCCTGTACATAAACGAAATGTTTTCATTTTACGGTTCGAGATAGTAGAATGTGAACATGTTTAATTAAAAATTAGCTTCTAAAACTTCGGACACTGGCACACATGTTCTTTTTTGAATTGAAAAAGTAATTAAAATCTGTTTGAACTATTCACTACAAAGTGAATCTGCTCAACAATGAAAACAAAAGACTCGCTGTCGATATAAATGAATAAATGAGACGTCAATCAAACAAAAGATTCAATCATTTTTTCTTCACTTTAAAAAAATTCGTCTCTAGAAAGGTTAACAAATTTTGAAGTTCGATTCTTTCAAAAAAAAAAAAAAAAAAAAAGCTAATTTACCGAATAAAATAGCCGATAACTCATCCTTAATAACTCTGTACCAAAAAAAAAAAAAAAAAAAACAAAAAAAAATGAAAAAATATTCCTCTTCTTCGTCTATATACTTTTGCACGTAGAATCACCATCTAGCCGGTTGTATCATTTACAAATGAAGATGTTTAAATGTCCAAGACTTTTAAGATGTTTGTAACAAGTGACACGTTCGTGACAGTATTTGTAACGAAAAGTACACGAGATTTCCTGTTTCGGCGACTTCAATGATTACCTAAGACGTGTCAGTCCCATCGAGTATCATTGGTTGACGCAAGGGACCAACAATAATGGCCTATAATGTTTGGCGGACAGGAAAACGGAGAGAAGGAAAGGGAGATGGCACGATTCTTTCGGCACTCATAATGGCCAGTTTAGGCTACCGGGTTTGCTAAGGAGCGTTTCTGGAAAATGGGCACGAACGAGCCACGTCACAATAGAGCTCCTGGCTGTGCAACGCGACAGATTAGGATCTCACGCGAGTGACACCTTTCACCGTGATGCGCCAACTTGCTACTTACTCGTGCAGCAGAGCATTTTCGTCAGGAAAAATGGAAACTTGTTAAAATTCCCACTTCGTACTCAGGATCTCAAAGATTTTTCCAAGAACGGCATCATCAACGTATTCGTAAACGCTGACAATAAGTATTTTTCTCTTAGGGATTTAAGTTTCGAACTTGGACCGGATCGGAAGATATCGGATGGCCTCGGATAGATTCCCGATACAAATAGTTCAAAATGAGTGCATAGTGGCTTCTAAATTGTGCTACGATTTCGCGTCGATTAATTACTGACCCGAAATTAAAAATTGTTGACTAATTACCGGAACTATTCGACATTTTCTCTACACTTTCTTTCTTTACATATTTCCTTCGTGCAAAATTGTAATTCAATTACAATTACGATTACAATTCGATTCCACTACAATGACCATTCAAGCGGTGTTAGGCTAATTAAATTTTACTTCGTATTTAATTTTGCTTTGTATTTCATGTTCTTCGTTATAGATATTAGTAACAAAATTAAATTAAATTAAGAACTTTAAAATTAATCTTGCTAGTTTTCGGGTAAATACTGTCTAATTGTTCCTATTTCTTTAAGAATTTTATATTTGTGGAACAAACAACATGTATCGAATTTATGATCGTATTCTTAACAATTTCGATACATGTTTTTTGAAAAATGTAAAGTTCAAAAAGAAAAAAATAGTCTTTCATAAAAATATCGCAAAAGATACGAAGACTGTAGTAAGATTAAGTAATTTGACCCCTAGTTTTCATTGATCTAATATTCTTGACAATACCATTTGAGAATTAATATTGAAACGATCCGAGATTTGAATTTTATCTTTTCTGACATTCGTATCACTATCGAGCTTTTTATTTTCAAAGTCAGCTGCCGAGCTTGCGAGTAGGAATTTCGATCCGCTTTGTCGGCAAGCGCGGACATGTGCTAACAATCCGAAGGACAGATTTGTCTAGCCATGGATCTCGTTCATTCCCATGTTCGTGACGCAGAAAGCAACGGTGAACGATGAGGGGTTCACCGGGGAAGTCCTCCCTTTGCAACCGAAGCGCGCATTAACATCGGAACTCTTTGAAATTAAAAGCGAAAATACCCATTTCGGGAAAAGCGAATAGGGACACTCGAAATCTGTTGCTCCGGCTACCGGACCGGTTGTTCCTTCTATCGAATCCGAAAGAATTAATTACGAGCGGCGTATTATCTTTGGACAATAACGACGAACATCGGCAAAGCCCTGAGGAAAACCGGCGGTTCAAAGGGTGGGCGAAAAAAAAAGAAAATGCGAGTTAAATGGAAGGTGGTGGGCGACGAGGAAAGGAGAAGAGAGGGAGCGACCGAGTCGACGGGCAACACGCGAATAAATTATAATTGCATGATTCCTTGAGCCTCTTTAACGGCACACGCCGCTCGTCGCCGCGAAATT